AGCCGCGGACCACGTGGCACGGGCAGAAAAATAGCCGCGGACCACGTGGCACGGGCGGAAAAATAGCCGCGGACCACGTGACACGGGCGGAAAATGGCTCGTAAGTCGAGGCGACTTTGTAAGGAGAGGTAAATTTTTGGGGCCGGAGCTGATCATATCTTGAAAATTTCGTAAGTAGGGGTGTTCGTAAGTAGAGGTACCACTGTAGTATGAAAGTCATGTGAATTTGTGTATACTTACTATATCTAAATGATTTCTTTGGATATTTCATATTATTTACTAGTTCAATTGTTTAAATAATTAAACATGCAGTTTTCTACATGCATATATGCTTCATATGTAACTATTGTGGTTGCTGAATTCCCTGCTTTTAAAAGCTGTATTAACAGATGTTTGGAACAAATGCATATGAAAGTTAGCTATCATTCTGAATATTCAGAGACTGGCAGTTCTAATATAGGCTACTATGTCATGAGTAAGAATAATTTACATAAGAACTGTAATTACTGTTTTGTGTCTTTTAGAATTCACCTTTATTTGAACTTGTAAAGCAGTCAAAAGAGCGAGAGGGGCAGGCTGATGAGCCCGAACCTGCCAACTATTTCACTCAGCCTCTTCAGCATAATCACAGTGCTGCAGATTTGTAAGTAGGGCTGTACTCAAATTCACAGGAACGTGTTAGGATGCAAAATCCCATTACTGACTGATCTGTATCAGAGCTATTACTTTGACTTGAAATAATTCCTCAGGATTTTAGATGTTATTTCCCACTCGTGTTACCCAACTTTGATTTAGGTAGAAATGCCACTGCGTATTATACCACCGGGTGTTGGCCCCTTGATCTCCATTCATAAAATTGTAGAATGGGAGGCTCAGGAGGGACCACTAAGATAATCTAGTCCACCCTCAGCAATGTACAGGAAAACCAATTAAACCATTCTGTCTAGCCTTTTTTAAAAAAACCTCCAGAGATGGAGACCCTACAACTTCCATAGATAGGCTGTCCCACTGGCATGCAGATGTCAGAACTTTTTCTTTATGTTTAAATGAAATCTAGATAGCTGCAACTTGTAACTATTATTTCTGGTCCTAGTTTCTGTGGCAGCAGAAAATAGTTTGTGACCATCTTCTCTGGGTACTCTTTTACGTACTACAACAGTGAAATCCTGTCTCCCTCCCTTCTTCTAAGGTTCCAGAGGAAGGACACCACAGCTGAAATAGGACTTCCTCTTTGCTACCAGCAGTATTCCTAGGGAGAGTATAAATTTAAAATACAAAAAATTACCCATACCCAT